GGTCAGTTGCCACCATTTGCTCTCCTTCCAATATCCCACACATACTCTATCCTCTCACTTGCCTTCTTTCTTTCAAATGGACCTCCTTCGCTTCAAGTACCCAACTGCCACCAGGTGTCCCTCCTCTCCTATTAGTGAACACCACTTTGCTCTAATTGCAAATCAGAGGCAATGCAGGCAGCCTGGAAACTCCTCCTAGCTTAATTCATTTAAACAAATTCACGATAGTGAGCAATGTACTAACATGCTGGGGATGCCCAGACCAGAATCAAACAAAGGGTACAACACAAATACACAATTACAAGGCAAAATCTAAGAGGTGCGAATGAAGTTCTAGGCTCAAAAGAAGAGTGAATTGCATCAAGTTGGCGGGAAAACAATTCTAAAAGATTCCTTTGTGACTTCTATCAAGTAATATGGCAAGAACCTGGGTTTTCTAGCATCTCCACGGAAGGTTTTCTTTAAAAGGTCCCAGACTGAATGTCAAAGGCTGCCTCATGTCTTTCATTAGTGTTTTTCTGAGTCTATAAAAAAACTGTTTTTGAGCCTCTACTTAAGTTTACAGTAATTCAGAAGCTGACCCTGACTTATGAATATTAAAGAAATTTGCTAGGTTTGGGAAGGGGACACAGAGTAGAGTTCTAATTTTGTCTGATTCTGGCAATATTGAAATCATTTTAGGGAATGACAAATTAGACATTTTTAGCAGTGGAGAAGCCATAATTGAATTATTAACTGGTTTTCAATTGTTTGGTCTGCTCCATTTGTTCATTAAACAATAAATGCTCTGTGGCAGCAGCACTCCACATTCAGAAAGAATGTTCCTAATGAAACAAGCCTGTTACAACTCATTTCTTTAGGGATTCATGCATGAAAAATGAATCAAGTTTCAAAATTTAAAAGGGAACAGATGAGGCCAAGAAATGAAGAATTAGGATCATGACTCTCTACATTCAGGACTGCATTTTTCACAGATCATTCGTTCTTTATCCACTTGGGAAGACATGAAATCTCTCATGCCTGCCTCCATCTGAGAAGACTTCAAACACTGCCGCCTTGCAGGTGGGCTCTGTATTTCATGTATGGCTGCTTTCTCTCTTCTTATCCACCTTCACATCCTACTCCCCACATTGCTAGCCAAAAAGCAAATGTCTACAGAAGCATTCCCAGTTATGTTAATGTTAATACTAATCTTGAAGGGGAAAAAAAAAGGAGAAAACGAAGAAATGAAACAGAAGTAAATGCTTCCGTCAATTTCTTTCTGACCAATTATGTGACTTCTTTTGATTTCCCTGAAGTGGTGAGGGAAATTCAAGGGCAACACAAGTTTTGTCCAAATCGACTCTTTTGCAAAGACAGAAAACTCAGCTAAATTTAAGACAAATTTTATTCTTTGCCGTTTTAGGAGTTGCACTGTACTACATAACAGCCTATCACTGCTCACTTTAACATTTGGTTTTGCTCCTCAGCTCCTGAGGAATAAATCAATCACTTGTCTCAGTTCGCGGCACCTGACTGTCATTGGTTCCAACTGATTATTGAATATTTTAATATTGGTTGATTACATTTTTAATCCCACTAAATCTGAAGAGTAGAGTTGTTTCTAAGTCACTTATATGGCTAGATCAAATAAGGGACATCTGACCATCCCCAGAAGGGAATGTCAATCTTCTCCTATCACAGGGTCTAGAAAATGTCTTCTGAAGAAGACTCAAGACTGGAAGTTCCCACTCAAAATGATGGGACTTGGTGGATCCTGATGTAATTGATGTGGGTGGGATCAGGCGGGGGTGAGTCTAATGTGTAGCCACTCCCTTAGGCAGAGACCCGAGCAGCACTACTTAACCAGATCTTCCCAGGCTCTCTTGGGGCAGTATGTAGAGCAAGCCCCTTGCCTGGACTCTCCTCCGGTCCCTCACCCTTCAGGGTTCCCAGGGGCTTGCTCATACCTGCTATCAAAATAGCCCTCAACAGCCCCATAAACTGGAACCTAAGCTCTGTGCAGTTGAGGAGATCAAGACAAGTGGGACCGGAGGTACAGGAATGGGATGGAAATAAAGAGAAAATAAAAATGAGGGAGGGAGGAAGTGACACAGGCATGTTCTTCTGAACACATTTGGGGGTTCTTGGACAAGAGATTACTAGTATTGCCTAAACACTGAAAATAATATCTACAGAATGGACCCCCTCTTTAATATACAATTTAAGTTCACTTAATTTTTTAGTGACTTATAAACAACACAGAGACTGAAGGGCTTTGTGTCAACTCCCTTATTCTCACCAACAGCAACACCCTCCCATGATACAGAAGAAAATGCTGAAAGTCAGGGGAATTCAGGAACATGATCAAGGCCACACTGTTACTCGTGCATAGAACCAGAATCAGAACCCAAGCTTACTGTGAATCCATTATCAGTCCAGCCACCCAAACTGAGCACCAGAATCATCACAGCAGCATTTCATAACAGGAATTTCTAGTCCCACCCCATGCCTGCTAAGTCAGAATAGCCGAGATCACGGTCCAAGAATCAGGGTTTTTCCGGCCTCTTAAGTGATACTCGGATGGGCACACTGAGGAACTGCTATTTATGATTCATGATTACAGATCATTACTGGTTGCCTGTACATGGCTTATTTGCATGACCAGATCGGAAACCTCTTTGAAGGGACCATGCCTTCACCGCCTCTGAGACCCCTTGTAGTATCCAGCACAGGACAGCACAGCACAGCCCCACTGCTGGGCACAGTGTACATGCCTAGTACCCATTTATTAAATGGATTTTTGTTCTGTGTTGTTTTTTCATTGCTTTTTAAAAAATCATTTTCATCCTCATAAAAAGTAGAATTACATTTCAGTAATGTTTTCCCTATGTGAAAAAAAAAATTACTGAGAAATCTTCATCTTCACCAAATAAGTGGCTGCATGAATTCCAATAAGAACATTTTTATTTTTCCTTAAAAGAAAATACACTGCCTGACCACAGTTCTAAGGCTCTCTCTTCTTTTCATAGCTTCCTGGGGGCAAACTCATTCACAGAGGGGATAGATTACCAGTCTTTTCTGATGATTGATCTCTTTTGCTTATCCTTCTCTCCTGAATATAAATAGGGTCATTATGTTAAGCTGGAATAAAATTATTTTTATGCCCTGACTCAAGGAGAACTTGTTTCCATTAATTTTTTTTCTAAGCAATAAAAATTTGTTATAAGATGATGGTTTGCACAATATATTCCAAGATACCTCAGTTAGTCCAAATGACGTGCACACCAAGATTCTTCCCTTTTCCCCAGGCTATTTTTACCAAGAACAAAACAGTTGTTTTGTGTTATTTTCATATCTCCTTGTTGCTTTGTTCTTGCTTTGGGATTGGTGCTCATTGACAGAGTCCTGGCCAGATGACCCTGGTCTATTCCTGTATCCCTTAGGTTGCAGCTCAGTGGCCTTACTAGAAGCCAGGGCCTCTTAGTTCCGGGTAGCTCCAAGACCCAACAGCCTCCATGTGTCACAGCAGTGTGTGGTATGCAGAGTTGGGCCAGCACCTATAGGTGGTTACCAAGACAGAACAATTTGTGGGGCTATAAGAAGATTCTTCCAGGGTCCTCATGGCAGAATACAAAGTACACAGCATTGGACCTAGAGTCAAAAGATATATGTGATCCTCCCATAATGGCTAGCAACATCAGGAAGGGCGTGCAGATAAAATCTGTTAGTAAAACAATCATCTCTCTCTCAGCCTTTTGTGAACACAGCCAAAGTCCAAAGAATAGTGCAAAACTCTGTTATCTTTTCCTATAAGGACATGTCTTGGTTCAGCTGTCCCTCCTATTCCTTTTGCTTCTCCTGGGCCTTACCTTTAGTGTCCCACTCCCTCCTCCCAGTGCACCCTGTGGGTCAAGCCCTTAGCCCAGGGCAGACAGACAGGTTCCTGGCTCCAGCGCAGGTAGGTGAATGTGGATCCTTATGTTCTTCAGACTAGGTCATTTGGAAAACAACAAACCCTCCTGCTTATACTCATCACCTGTTATACCGTAACTTAACAAGTGATTTTGCTAAAAGACTCTCACACCATCATCCGTGGTCAGAAGAGATCAGGGTGGCTATCATCTTAAACCATGCCACAAAAACAATTTTTGGTCCTTAGTCTCACCAATAGAGGTTTAAATGTAGCTGGTTATTTCCACTATGCCACACCTACTACTTTTAACAATATCATTATAATAACAACTAACATTTATTTAGTCCTTTATATTTTTAAGTCCTTTATATGTATAACCTTTTTAAAGCCTCATAATACTATGAAATCGATTATCTAATTATTCTATTTTACTGAAAACAAAAAATTAAGTTAATTTCGCCAAAGTCACAATAAGTGGTGGCACCAGGATTCAAACCAGGATGTTGGATCCCCAAACCCATGTTCTTAACTGCTGTATTTAACTACCATAAGATTATCTGTAGCCAGCCAATACTTTTTAAACACGTTCAGTGGACACTGTTAATTTGTGAATTCAATACCCAGTACCGGGAGTTGTGGTGACTGACATCTTCCAGACTGTGAGGGTCGGAGGCGTCACCACACCTCTGTCTGTGCAATACAGGCAGGACAGTACAGATCAAAAAACATTGGCTCCAAAAAGAGGAATAAAATGACTTATCTGACACTATTTTATGTTGTAAAAACTATAAATTTCTCGGACTAAAGGTTATTACTGAGGATGAAATATATCCACTGTTTAGACAGAAAAGGGAGAAAAGTATAATAAAAGCATACAGAAAGGAAAGAAATAAGTGATTTTCTCAAAGAATTGTTGCATCAGATCATCAGTTTCTGAAACAACTTTACAACAAATCGTGATAACAATGATTTTTGCCATACTCTATCAATAGGTCAAAAAAGATTTTCCAGTAATTGCAAATTTCTCATTTTAACAATGTTCTGCGTGATAGCTACCAATTTTAAGAAAAAGAGTATCAATACAAATGGTTTTTGAGTGCAAAACTGGATAAGCAAAATGTGTTTATTTCATTAACTATTTAGTGTTATAAAGTGAATGTTTAATGTCCTAGTAAACCCAAATGTTTTTGATCAACCCAAAATGATAAAATCATAATACATTCTTCATGACTGGTAGAATATTTTTATATTAAATAAAAGATTTTCTAAGACTCGTATGCTTTTTAAACTCATTTATTTCACGCTGTATCTTATGTTATATGCTGTGTGTCTTACTTTCGTTGCTGGAACTAATGCAGGTTCCAAATATTCTAACTACATAATTTCCTAGCGTAATTTAGCAAAGGCCACAAACCTACCAGATTTCTTCCAAATCAATCAGCAGGGTACCAAAGGGGTTTTTTCATGAGAAACAAAGTAAACGAAGCTTATATAATTACATATAACTGTCCATCTCCTTTCTTTATCCTGCACTCTTATGGAAGCTCCTCTAGAGTAGAGTGATTTGCACAGAGTAGGAGCTTAATAAACATTAGTTGAATTAATTAGGCTTTCCCTTTCAACCTCCAACCCTACATAACCAGATCCAATGCCATAACTACTGCTCATGTTTTCACCAGCAAACACTAGACAGCAACTAGCTCTGGGGCCCACCCATTGCTGTCCCTGGGGAAATAGAGTTAAATTCTAATCACCTGAGCAGAATCCATCTTATTGAAAAGAGTAATCACCTGGTTCCCTTCAACACATAAAACTCAATGAATTTCTCAGGCTTTCCCAGGCATCTGTAAAGGTGCATGAGATGTCATGAACTTCACTGACACAGTGAATTTGTTCTGGTAGCAAAGCTCCTTCGGTAAGAACCTGTATGTCCGTAGTCAAGTTCTCTTGCCTTCTGTTGATTCTCCTCCCTGCTAGCCGCCCACCCTTAACCCCATTAAAGATGAAGTGTCCTACCATAAAAGGGGGCTGAGACAAGTTCACCCCTTTTTAGTTGCTATTCCCATACCCACTTGCCTTGGGGTTGATTCCATCTTGCTGCAGAAAGTGGGCCCCAGCGGTGGGTTCCCTGACCAGATCATCTGTTGCCTGAAGAAGTGCAGTTTCTCAGTTCCTAACCCTGTACACTCCCAGGAAAGTAAGAAGCTCAAGGTGTTAGCAGTTGCTCTCAGAAAATAATTTCTTTAGTTTTGTTCAGAGTCCAATTGGTTGAGTCGCTTTACAATCATATTGTTTATTCTCTTAAGATCATCTATGTCTTTTCCTTCAGCTGTTAGTCTTCTTGACACATCATCCATCTTGTTTCCAGTTTGAACTTCAAAACAGAAAACAGACTGTGTTACATTGGTTTCCACTGTGTTCCACTGAAATTCATCAGAGCCCCGCGCTGGTGCTCAGCTGATGCTGAAAGACACTCTTGGCAAATCCCCTGTTCCCATTTCCATGCATGCCAGAAGCCCAGGAGAGAAACTGGTGAAGACTGAAGTTTCCTAGCCAGTGAATTGTTTTTACAACCTCTTGGTGCCAGCCTAGGCTACCTTTGGCAACTTCACACCAATTATGGCTAAAAAAGACCTTGCTGTGAGCAACCAGAGGAAACTGTCGGCATGTTTGATTGTCCTCCCAGACGAGATTGCTATGCTGCTTCATTTTGAGACCCATTCTCAGAAAAAGGTTTTCACTCCTTATTTGAGAAATTACATTCTTTGGGTTCCAGCCTATTTTGACCTAAGTCTGCTTGTTCTGAATTACCGGCCCAAAATGATTGTGTAATCATTCCCCCTCAGACCACCCATTAGAATGGAAAAACAATATTTTCCAAATACACAAGACCTTTGGCAATAAGATACAGAATGGAACACTTTGAGGTTGCTTATCAGAGTTAAATTTTCTAAGATGGCTAGAGGAAAGATTTAAGATAATAAACTTAATGTATCTAATACAGAGCAATTGTGCAATAAAAAGATACTCTTCTTTATTCACCTGATCTTTCTGTTTCTCACTTAATATGACTTTGTCTTCAATAAAAAAACACTCAAGGCAAATATAAAATATGCTATTCATACAAGTGGAACATGTTGATAAAGTATATAGTCTTTGATGTCAAGTGGAGTGTCCTTGAGCCCCAATTTGCCACTTATTAGCAACATGACCTTGGGCACATTAATAGATCTCTCTAAACCTCAGTTTCAGCATTCATAAAACCAAAATAATAATGGAATTGGCCAGGTGCGGTGGCTCACACCTGTAATCCCAGCACTTTGAGAGGCCAAGGCGGGAGGATCACCTGAAGTCAGGAGTTCGAGACCAGCCTGGCCAACATGGTGGAACCCCATCTCTACTAAAAATACAAAAATTAGCTGGGCATGGTGGCTCACACCTGTAGTCCCAGCTACTTGGGAGGACGAGGCAGGAGAATCACTTGAACCTGGGAGGTGGCATTGCAGTGAGCTGAGATGACACCACTGCACTCCAGCCTGGGCAACAGAGTAAGATTTCATCTTAAAATAATAATAATAATAATAATGGATTCTACACTACAGAGTTGTTACGAGGTTGTGAACAAAGAGGTATCAAGGGCTTAGCACAGTGTCTGGGACAGAGTAATGACTCAATATACAGCATTTAGTATTATTTCCCTCAATCTTGCTACTTATCTCACAGAAAAAAAGAATTTGGCGGGGTGGGGAGGTGTTTACATGTCTGTAGACATACCTAAAATTTCCTAACAGTTTAACTTGGTTATTACCCCCAGGCGGGTGTGGTAGAATGACATGGCCAGCATTAATTTATGTTGGAGTAACGGTTCAGAATACTAGCCCATGTGCTCTTTCTGGCATTGCTGGTTCAGTAGCCAAGCCTCCCCTAACTGATCATCAGATGCAAGTTTGCAACTATTGTAAAAATAGTTCTCATGTTAGCTTCTAAATGCAAAAGGGCATCAGCCAGGTGCAAGAGAAGCAATTAAACATGACCCCTCCCTCCCAGTCCCTTTTTCTCCAGAGGCTAAAGACGTTCAAGCTGCAAGGAGGGAGGAGTCTTCAGGGGAGGAAATGGGATTGGAAGTGGTGAAAGGGTCATCATGAACTCTGCCCACCTGTCTCCTCTCATCGTCATCACCATCTCTGCCTCCTCTAATCCTGAATGAGATTAAATTAGAGCCCTTCCAAAAGCTATAAAGCACTCAGGGGTGGAAGAAATGATGGTGCAGTACACCCAGGCAAAAAGGTATCAAAGATGACACCTTCCCTTAGGCTCCATCTACTCTTAAGTCATCTGGAAGAGAATTAAAATAATTCCAGATGAGAGGGGAAACTTGTGGGCTCCGTGGGAAGAGGCAATGCTCAGAACGGGGCGACAGCACCACAGGTGGACAGCACCCCTCCCACATCCAAAGCAGAGAGGGTGGCAGTGCTGGAGGCTTGAAGGATCCTTGACTGAGAAGCTGAGGTGGGGAAGTCTGAGTCACCACTCAAGGTCACAACATGCATGGCCCAGGCCAGGAGCAGACAAAGCAGGTTATATTAGGAGCAGGTTGCCTGAACACGATCAAATTGGAAAGAAGCCACATTTATACATCTCCAACACTGTCTCTGGGGCCTCGTACAAGCCCTCAAGTGCTTCTCATTGATGTCTAGGATGATATGCAAGTGAGAAAACCTGGGAGCGAGTTCAGTTCAAAGCCTCAATGTGACTATGAGTTATAGATCTGAATTTAGTGGAGAAATCTGGGCATTGGATAAAGTAAAGCTAGAATCAACCAGAATAAGTTGCCTTCCATTGGGCAGCTAGAGTCTCCAAGTGAGAAATTAAAGTGCTATAGAATTATTCAACATACACATTCATGGACTTCTGGCACTGTGGGCTTCTACAGTGGGTTTGTGCCCAAGGGACCCTGTCCTCAGCCAGCAGGGTTCACTCGAGGCGTTCCTTCTTCTTTCAATGTAAGCATTGACCACCGGGAAGCATTGACTGGAGGGTGCAAACTCTGCAGGAGCAAAGTCAGCCAGCTATGAATAAATGCATACAAGCAATAAAAAAGAAATCTGTGGTGGTACTTACCTATTAGAAATATCACGAAAAAAACCAGTGCCAGGCTGACAATCAGCACAATTAGCAGCCCCACAAAAAACAGACTCCGGCTTCCATTTCCTGAGTTTGTGCCAAGGACTGGGATTTTGTCCTCTAGAGCTAATACGAAACAAACAAAAAACAAGGACAAAAACTGCTCAGCATACAACTTGTCAGCAGAACTGAACAGTACCCCACTGTTAGACCATGAGTAATGGATACACCCAGTTTCTCTCTGACAAGCCTAGAAAGTGACTTCTGTTTTAGGAATGTCTTTGGGCAGAGAGAAATCTGTGAATTATTTACCTTCTTCTCTATTGGTATTCAAGGAATAAGCAGGGTTAAGCTATCTCCTTAGACCTGTTTGGAAAGTTCTTTGAAGGCTGTCTTAACACTGAAATAGCAGAACATGAATTTTTGTGTGTTGGGGGAGGGAATATAGAAGTTAAAGGCTAAGAGTGATAGAAATTCTATTACTACCCTTTCCCAAAGTAACCCAGGAGTAAAACAGAACTGGGTGTGGGACACCTATGCCGGGTGGAAGACTCAATTGAATGCTCTGGGATATCTCCCTGGAAACTTCTTTTATTATAGGAATAATCAGTTAAGCCTACATCCATTTAAACAAAAACGGCCCTGACCTATTTTGGTTTCTTTTTTTTTTTTTTTAATTTTATTTATTTATTTATTTATTTTTATTATACTTTAAGTTCTAGGGTACATGTGCACAACGTGCAGGTTTGTTACATATGTATACATGTGCCATGTTGGTGTGCTGCCCCCATTAACTCATGATTTACATTAGGTATATCTCCTAATCCTATCCCCCCACCCCCCCGCCCACAACAGGACCCGGTGTGTGATATTCCCCTTCCTGTGTCCAAGTGATCTTATTGTTCTCTTAAAGCTGTCTTCTGGATGGATATGCCCTGGAAGCAAGGTTCTTTTAAATGCTTTGCAGTTGAACTGAGAATGCAGTTACATTTTATCAACAGCTGGTTCACTCAAACCAAGAATTGTCTGCATTTTATCACCGTTTTTGCAGGGTCTGCTTGCCTAATAACACCCAGATTAAACTGAATAAGCAACACAGAAACCTGGGGCAGTGGAGATCATCGGATTACTTTTTGCATACTCTCCTACGTTGAATTGGTCCCACTCACTGTGCCACGTGATTATGGACAGATGGGTGGCTTATGTCCCATGCCTTGTAAGTACATCCTATGCCATACCCTTCAGTTACTTTTGCTTCCTAATCAAAGCAACAGTGTAGGCTGATGCCCAAACTTCTACTTCTATTGAGACTGACTGCAATAAACAGTTGAAAATTTGAACTTATTAAAATGAAGAAAAAAGGAGGAATTTAGAAAGGATTTAGACAGGAAATGATAGATATAACATTGGGACAACAAGTTTAGAGTGTATATGAAACAAATGGCAAGTGAGCAATTAACACTGGTGTTTGAATGTCAGCATTTAAGCTAGAAAAGATGGCGCTCAGAGTGATCTGACAGAGCTCATTTATAATATTTAGGAGGCAAGATACACATTTAATATTTAGCAGATGTTATTTTGCTTCCCCCACCCCCTTTTTCCAACCCTTAATTGCGCAAGTTGTAATTTGTAAGTAGAAAATGCTCTGGATTGCGCATTCTCTTGGCAAATCTGCTATAAAACAACACTCTTGTGGGAAGCGGTCCCCATCGGTAACCGAGCCATGGTCACTGGGAGAGGGATGAGCGAGCCTCCAGGAGTCCAGCTTTGCAGGCTCCACCCCTTTCCAGAGATCTGAGGCCCCAGGATCTCAGAATATTTGAAGTCAAGAGTTCAAATCTTGTGTTGGAGCCAAGAAAGCCCATAATCCTGTCAAGTGTTCAGAAAACAGAGGCAAAACTTCCCTAACAGCAAATAACATTTCCAGTGCCAACCTCTTCCTAATGCCCACTCCACCCCCACCACATCCACACATCCAGTCAGCAGTGGCTATTTTTAGGTAGCCTAGAAGCTAGGAAGGGCCGCTCTGCCTTCCCCAGCACACATACGGAACAGATGCTGCGATCCGGCTGGACAGAGGTTTAATTTGTTTAAGTCATTTATGGAATCCACCACATAAAGCTTTCCATCTTCCTGTATGTCACAAGAACCAGTGTCCTGGGAAGAATGAGTCATTGTCCCTGGAAGAAAACACTGATGTTAAAAACAAGAGGTTAGGCTTGTGAACTCAACTTCACAAGAAGCACAGCCATCAGGAAGCCATACGGGCCTATGAAGAACTACCCACAAATACTATTTTCAGCTAAGGGTCTAGAGAACTTGGCTTATCCGGAAAAAAAAATATTTCCTTCTGTGGACCACTTTGTAATCGTTCTTTTTGCTTTGCTTCCCAGGAAGCTCACAGTCAAACGTGTGGCCCAATTTTAAGAATTTTACATCTGTGTACACCCTGCTTCTCTGCAAACTCTCTTTTCTCCTCCTCAGATTTCTCAGTTCTGCCTATACTTTCCCTGGATCTGTTTTTTGTTTTGTAACTGATTTTTAAATTTTTCTCTTTTATTACATTGTTCATATTCTGGTGAGATGCCTCAAATCCCCTTTGTGCAAGAAGACTAGGTACACAAAATTAAGCTAGTCAGCAGTGGCCATAAAACATTCTGAAAGAAGAGAATATTACCATGAACCATTCTAATTGCAGGAGGCTTCAACAGAAAGTTGCAATTCTTATAGTCTTCCTCCATATGGCATATAAGTCCTTCCCTTCACACATTTCCTTTAGCCATAAGATGCTGACTGTGAGTCCCCAGGACAACAATCTTAGCAAACTTAGATGCTATAGAGAGAAATCCTGCTAGACTTCAGGACCTCCAAGATCTCTTCCACCTGGGTTTCCCTTAGACTGAGGTCACTTATGTAATAAATAGCTTGAGGTTTATTAAATATTAAAAGTAATATTCTCTAATGACAGCACAACTGCAAGCAACACTGAAAAAAGCCTGGTGAGTTTAAAAGGTTTACGTGGAGATGTATCTCTAGCACAACAGAGAACTTGTGGCCATTTAATTATGTGAAAAGAAGGCTCTAGGAAGACAAACTTCAATTACTATAAAAGCTTTTCCTTTCATGGTTATCGAGTCTAATCATGACAGAGGACTTTTCAATCTAGAAATGGTGTTAGATGTGCTTTAGCCCCCATCCTTTCCGCAAATGAGGAAATGGAAGCTCGGCGAGGTGAACGCCCAGGATCACACATTTGCCTGGTAGCAGAGCTGGAATCAGGCCTTCTGTTCAGCGTTCACTAAGTCTTGCTTTGTGCTACTTTTCTTTTCTATATCCCTTCCTAATCCTGCCTCAAGACTCAGCTCAAACATCACTTCCCCTAAGAAGACAGAACAAACCTGTCTTTCCTTTTGCCTTTGTTGGATTCTTTACATTCTTCTATCAGAACATCTATAGTATTTTATTGCACTTATTTGCTTACATCTTTGATTTCCCCAGATAGACTGAAAACTCCTTAGAGTAGGGACCAATCCTATTCTTCAAATTCCCAGTGCCAGGTTTAGAAGTTGGTGACTTACGTTAAGATGGAACACCTGAAATGTTTATTTAGGATTTAAATCTCACCATTTTCAAAAGAATTGGAGGCAGTTAATAATAAGTACATGAACAGAAATAAGATTGAGGATAAAAATCCTCATGTAATGTCTATCTGGACTCTATAAAGTCAATGCGATAAATATGGTGCCTGTGCATATTTGACAACACACTGTGTACTTCCTGTTATTGCAAAAATTTCCTTTAAAACTCAACTACAGAATGAAGAGAAATATAGAGTTGGGAGAAACCAAATTCAGAAAAAAATTTAAAAAGTATACACCTAAAGAAGATATGGGGGAAAAAGTATCAGACATTTACTGAGCAACTTAAACTATAGTCTAAAATATTTAAAAAACAAACAAACAAACAAAAAACCCCAGCAGTTTCCCAGTAATACCTAAAACTACTGGTACTTGTGAAAAATATGCTACCAGAACCTTAGCTAAGAAAGTGAGCTCAAAAAGTCGTGGACTAAAATATTTTTTAGAGTTAAAGCTAAAAAAGTATGTTTCACTTATCCTGAAATTTTAATTAATCAGAACGAACAATTCCCTGAGTTGTTTTCAGATAAGATACTACCGTAGCACTTTACTGATATTACTGAATTCCAAATATACTTCATAGAGCATTCCTATGACTTGATATGACAATTTTAAAAAATTAAAAAGCAGCAGCAAATAGAGTAAAAAGGCCTTAGAATCTTATCCTTTTGCAGATAAATCCAAGGCCCCAAAATATTCACTCACGCATAGTCACAGATTTTAAAACAATTCTTTTAGACGTGTATTATATTTTATCATTTATTTATACTAATATTTGACGAAACAGTAATATTTGACCAGGAAAAAACTTTTATGTGCCACATCACAGGACCATTGTTCCACACACAGCTTCTATTTTAGGTGTGGTAACTGAAGCATGGTTCATTTTTGGATCTCTGACTTAATAGCCTTGAGCCTTAGCTTCCCCTTCAGGAATGTATCTGCTGTTGCTTAAGTTTCATACTGAGGCTTAATTAATGTTTACAAAATAGAGACCTAGCTAAAAAATCACAGCCACAAAAACTGACTTTAAGAGTACAGCTAATAAAATCTCCAAATTACTGGTCTTGCTATCTACTCAAAAGGTGACTCCAAAAAAACTAAGACAGCAACCTAGTGAGCCATGATGTGCTCTGAAAGAAAATGTCTTCTTTAGAGTGAAGTCACAATGTAAATATATGCTATTCCAATATTTTTTTTAAATGAACTGCAACATGCAAGTGGAAAAATGAAGAACTAGCACAGAAAACTGAGCTGGGTGCTGTTCCAGGGCTCCAAGCGCCTGCAGATGACTTGCAAATGACTCATGAGTCTGCTAGTAAATGGATACAAGGTCACATGGCCCTAAAACCAGGCCCCACAGCTGTTTGACACCCAGTAGTTGCTATCTTTGGCATCTCCAAATGAGGGCATCTAGGAACAACCAGCAAGCCTGGAGAAGCCAGTGTTACTAGCTATTCTTCATCACACTAACTTGACCCTCCTTTTCAACTCCAGTGTGCAAATTTCTTATTCACCAAGATTGGCTAAAGCAGAATCCCTTTAACAGAACCCTTTCTTATACCTTGACTGGAAACATGTAAGTAATTTCATTTTCCTCTGGTTTAGATCACTGCTAACAGTTGATTTTTTTGTCATTTAAGAATTATTTTGCTATTTACAAATAAATATTCCGACAAATAAAGATAATTGTCTATGAAAAATTGCCTTGTGCTTTATTTTTTTAACCACAGGTGCTTGGTATCAAACCATAGAAATAACTCACAACAGTATTGCTTGACACAAAATCAGAATAGTTATAATAGGGCATAATTCAAAGCTAATAAGCAGTTTTATTGAATAAGTCATGGTAATTTGTTCTTTAATTTCATTTCCGAGTCAATGCCTCTTCATGTTCAGGAAGTAATTTTTAAAATCAAGTCTAAATCATTTCTATCAAAATTGAAAAACACAGCACATGCAACAAAAACTTCCCAGACTCAATAATACTAATTCAGTCTCAGTAGAGTAATAGCATGCAAGTTACTTACAAAAATGTGAGCTTTGACTGCTAGGTTACCAGAAAAACAAAACAAACAAACAAAAACTAATTGTTCAGAAGCAACTACAACAAAACGTTTCTACAAATTCTGTAGTTCTCTCTTTGCCTTTCTTCAGCATACAGGTGCTCCTATGAGGCCCATAAGCCCCAGTATGAAACTGTTGGTTTATATTTAGTCTTAATTTAGCCAAGCAGTGTAAGATTCCAAATCCTGACTTTTTTCATAATGTCTAAGGTTTTTAGTAAACATATTACTAAAACTATGCTTTAAAAAGAAAACAACAAAAAACACCATGTCCTGATTTAGTTGGTAACTGATGAGGTTTTTATTGGATTGAAGTTACCGTCCTTATTTGACTGAAGCAACTGTGTAAGCTGACACCACCTTTCCAGCACTCCTGCCATGGTATGTTTCCATATATAAATATCCTGTAGCAGGCAGAAGCTGCCACTATGATGACTGACTTGCAAACACTCCAGACAAACCAGAGAACTGCAATAAACAGGGACAGAATATGATTATGACATCATAACAAGGATGATGGCAGGTCAGAGGCCTAGTGCTTCCAGTAGCTACAAAAAACGATTGTGAGTGGGAGATTTCATGGCTACAGACCCACCGCAGGTGAAGGAAGCACTCCATCTCATCAGCCGCCTTTCCTTTACAAAGGCTTTATTCTGTGAGTGTTTGCACATCCTCCCTTCTCAGGAATATCAGCCTTCCATTTATGCGGTTCCCTCACATACATGCCAAGGAGCTTCTGCCCTCTGCTGTACATAAAAGATGCTACAGTGATGAGGAGACCAACTATCCCAGCAGGATACTAACAGTGAGGTTGTACACACCTGTGCAATCCTTTATCATCCTCACTTCCATTGCCATGGCTTGATGGACATTATTCATCTTTGAAACATTTTTCATGTCAGTGAGAAAATGTGTTCCACAAAATTTTCTTTGAGTTGGAGTCTTGCTCTGTCACCCAGGCCAGAGTGCAGGGGCATGATCCCAGCTTACTGCAACCTCTGCCTCTGGATGCTCCTGCCTCAGCCTCCTGAGTAGCTGGGATTACAGGCATGTGCCACCATGCCCGGCTAATTTTTTTTATTTTTAGTAGAGATGGGGTTTCACCGTGTTGGTCAGGCTAGTCTTGAACTCCTGACTTCAAGTGATCCACCCACTTCAGCCTCCCAAATTGCTGGGATTACAAGCATGAGCCACCACGCCCAGTCCAAAATTTTCTTTACACCCATATCCCATACGGACTTCACTCTGCTTTGGGGGAAGAGGAATGTCATTTTTTTTTCCCCCTTCACACTACCTAGTCTAAGAGGGAATGTCATTTTCTCAAGCCTCATCTGTACCCAAAGACCAATTCTTGGACGAAGACAATATAACTAGTAACTTTTCTCAGAAACATATTATACGTTAAAAAGCTATGTCATATTTCTCTGAATAATGAAAATGTTCATGTTAGCTCTTACCATGCTGATTTTAAGAAATCTCCCAACTACCTGATCTGCCTTAAGCCATCTATCCTTCGAAGATACAATAGAAGTAACCACCTCATTTTGGGGCATTTACTACTTTCCCTCTCTCCTGTAATCTTCTAACTTTGTGGAATATTAACCTCCCCTGAAGGGGGAAGAACATGGAGACTAAGGAATTTAACTGTTGAGGGATACACTGATTGTAAGTGGCAGAGATGAGATGTAAACCCAAACCTCGCATTCAAGTTTGAATTCAACTATACACCAGTGAGGGGGATAAGACTGCCTCTAGACCAGTTAGACTTCTGGAGAGCCACTTAAGAACAAAGCAAGACAACCTACTTCATTTTAACTATAATGTACCTGCAAGGCCACCTTTAAGAAGAGTTTTGGGGCCAAGCGCGGTGACTCACACCTGTAATCCCAGAACTTCGGGAGGCTGAGACAGGCAGATTACCTGAGGTCGGGAGTTAGAGACCAGCCTGACCAACATGGAGAAACCCTGTCTCTACTAAAAATACAAAATTAGCTGGGTTTGGTGGCACTTGCCTGTAATCCCAGCTACTCAGGAGGCTGAGGCAGATCATACCATTGGACTCCAGCCTGGGCAACAAGAACGAAACTTCATCTCAAAAGAAAAAGTTTTGGGTCACAAAAAGAAATATTCTCACATCAAGTGTCTAATCTAGGGACATTCTCAAGCATTTGCTTTTTCTTTCATATATTACATCTCAGATATCTAAATTCACTCCCAGGAAATTTAGTACCCATCAAAGAGGAGTCACAGACAATGAATACTTCAAAATGCTTGAGCCTCAAAATAACGAAAGTAGACAAAATTAATCAAGAATCAAGCAATGAACAACTAGTCTATCACACAGCATTTTTCTACTTTCAAAAAAACACAAGCATTCTTACACACTGAACACCCAGCCATCCTTGTCTAGCAGTTACAAGTTTCATAAAGTCACCTGCATATAAACTCAACATGCAAATGAACACTCTATACCTTCTTCCTCCCAAAGGCCCAGTAAAAAAGCAGGAGTACAAATTACAAACCAGAAAAATTAAAATAGGAAGAAACAATACGGAAGAGCTCAACAAATGTATTGAACATGGTAAGAAGAGTGGTATCTGCCTTAGCAGGGCTATCGCGGATGAGTGGCAGTGGGACTGACTGCAGAATTCAGGGAGGCCTAGGATTTAGAGGCAAGAGTGAAGTGTGGAGCTACACAGAGACAAGTAATTTAATGCTAGCCAAAAATAAAATGCAGTACAAATTGGAAAATTGTCTTAGAGAAATATCCCAGACAGAAAAAAAAAAAAAAAAATACAGCCCAAGATTCAATTTGGGAGCTCCACTATGTCATAGTGTTCCAGAACAAAGAAAATGAGGAAGGGGAGAGATCAAGAACTTAATATTTTCCAGGTTGCCAAACCCATCAAAGAACAGTATCATGCAATTTTAGAACATGAGAAACAAAGAGATTCTGAGAAAACAAAGAAACAAAAATAAAAACTGCATCAGATGTCTCAAGATTTTGCAAATTAGAATAGAGCAATGCCTTCAAAATTCTGAATTTGATTACACTTGTCAAAATTTTCAAAAATTCCAAATTTGCTTTTCCACCTACAATTTCTTATACCATGCAAACTATCTTTCAGAAATATGAAGTCACTAAATAACTGACTGATCTCTCACACACTCATTCCCAAGTAACTACTGAAAGAAGTGTTCCATGTTAACAAAGTAGTAAATTAAGACACGGGATCCAGAAAATGAGGGATCCAATTCAAGAGAAAGAAAAACAAATTCTCACGATAGTGCTGTCTCCGGAAAACTGCTGTACAACTGGATGAGAGAAATTAGTCTAGATTGAAACAAGTACAGAATCAAGAAAAGTTGTAACAAATTTATTTGGGACTGTTTGGGAAGAATCAATGATATGCATAAAAAGCCAAAAAATAAGACAATTAACTCCAAGACAAAATGTTGTATGAGAATGAAAATGTAAGCACATTAAACTAGTTCATGAGTGAACATACAAGTATGATCACAGTTAAGCAAACAAGTACATGATCTAATCAAAATATTAGAAGGATGTGAAAGGATAAAAGAAATTTTCACCTGTCTTAATAGTAAGTTGACAAATGCCTAAAAAATAAATGGCTGTATAATCATATTATTTAGAAAACTAAAACCAAAAACTGAAGGCTGAAAAAACCGAGTCAGAAAAAACTGAAGGCTGAGTATCTCCCAGGATGGGACTGAGGAATGGGAAAGGATGGAGCAAGGGGCTTTCCGTATTAGCCTTTAAGTACCATTAAACTATGTTCAGGCTGGGTACAGTGGCTCATGCCTGTAATCCCAACACTTTGGGAGACCAAGACAGGTGGATCACTTGAGGTCAGGAGTTTGAGACCAGCCTGGCCAACATGGTGAAACCCCATCATGACTAAAAATATAAATTAGCCAGGTGTGAGGGAATACACCTGTAATCCCAGCAACTCAGGAGGCAGAGGTCACAGTAAGCAAAGATTGCGCTACCGCACTCCAGCCTAGGCAACAGAGCGAGACTCTGTCTCAAAAACCAACAAAAACCTATGTTCATGTAACAGTTCAATAAAAATTCATTTTTATTTATAATTACATATACATACATATATGCAATTGAATATTTAGAAGAAACTATACCATTTGCAATCTCTTTTCCATGGTTCTAACCTACTTGGAATATAACAAGTGACAACATACAAACAAGTTCTAGATTCTAAACCTGTTTTCCACTGTACTGTAACTGGGGGATGGAACTCAGCAACAGTGACTCCATACGACAGCAAATGATTTTCACCTAGAGGGAGCACCAGACTTCCAAGAGTTGTTGGATGTTGGAGAGGAACACTACTTTGGAAAAAAGACCTTAAATGATTTTGATACTTCTCCCTACAGTGTATATGCTTCCCTATTCCTCACTGTGACCTACACCAAGAATATCAAAGAAACAAGTCTATGGATTTGAAATGGCACATTGCTTGCACTATGTATTTTAATCTAAAGTTTATTAAATGTGAATGTGCTGTCAAAACGCTTTTCACAAAATGAAAGAAATATACCTCATGGGCAAACAAGCAGCAATATTCTTTTTACTGTTGTGCTTTTGAGACAAGGCCTCACTCTTGTCACCCGGGCTGGAGCGCAGTGGCACAATCGCGGCTCACTGCAGCTTTGACCTCCTGGGCTCAAGTTACCCTCTTGCCTCAGCACTCAAGTAGATAAAGAGTACAGGCACACACCACCACACTCATTTTTTTTAAATTTCTGGTAGAGACAGGGTCTCGCTGTTGCCCAGGCTGGTCTCAAACTGGGCTCATGCCATCCTCCCACCTCAGCCTCCGAGTGCTGATGACAGGCATGAGCCACTGCACGTTGCCAAGCAGCAATATTCTCGAAAGTCAGAAACCTTAATCCCAATTATGTATTGTTACATTCTTTTCATCTACTTTAATGTTTGCAAATATATACATAAAGTTTTGTCTCCCTACCCACCTGGCCTAGTCATTTTGGACTCTGTACCTCAAAGCCATAAATAATGTTTCTTCTATTAGAAGAGACGCACTTTCGGTGTGAAAAAAATCTTTATTTCAAAGTGAAATGCACAAAGTTTCATACAGCAGATAAAATCAGTGTTACTGCTCTCAGACGTTAAGGTTAGCAACCTTTCTGGCATATGCTAATTCATCGTGAACTCCCAATAGCTGAACTGAATGGCTTTTAAGTACAACTGTAAGGTCTCATGGCATAATTCCTTTTGTTGATGCCAGTGACAGGATTTTAAAAGCTACATT